TCTCTCTCTCTCTCTCTCTCTCTCTCTGCCTCTCTCTCTCTCTCTCTCTCTTTTCTTTCTCTGTTTATCTTTCCCCTCTCTCCCACTGTCTCTCTCTGCCCCTCTCTCTCTCTTTCTTTTTACTCTCTCTCTCTCTTCTCTCTCTCTCTCTCCCTCTCTCCCTCTCTCTCTCTCTCTCTCTCTCTTTCTCTCTCTCTCTCTCTCTCTCTCTTTCTCTCTCTCTCTCTCGCTCGCGCGCTCTCTTTCCTTGTCTCTCTCTCTCACACACTTTCGCTCGCTCACTTTTTCGCTTTATCTCTCCTGCCCCTATCCCCCTCCCCCTCTCTTTCTTTCTCTCCCCTGTCTTTCTCCCTTCTCTCTCTCTCTTCCTCCTCTCTCTCTCTCTCTCTCTTTCTCCCTTCTCTTTCTCGCCCCCCACTCTCTCTCTCTGCCCCTCTTTCTCCCTCCCTCGCTGCCGCTCTCTCCCTTTCCTCTCTCCCCCCTCTTTCTCTCTCTCTCTGCCTCTTTCGCTCTCTCTCTCTCTCTCTTTCTCTCTCTTCCCTCCTCTCTCCCCCTCTTTCCCCCCTTTCTCTCTTTCTCATTGCGTGCGGTGTGGTGAGAAAGCGCGAGGCGTGACTGAAATCCGTAGTGAGAAATACTCTCATGTAAGAGCAGCACGTCGACAGCTGGAGGATGCCATCTGGCATCACCATCACCACCATCACCACCATCACCACTGCCGACCTTGAATAAGGATGTGTACACAGGATACATTTTTAGCCGTAGAAAATATCGATTCACGTATAGGCGTCTCTGGTAATTATCATACGTAAATATTTTAGATCATCGCGTATATGCGGTGCAGTATGAACACGTTGCCAGGTCTGACTAGCACGGTTTATGTGGATCGGATTCGTTTCTTGCACGCGTTAACAAGTACCTAGTACACACGTACACAAGTACCTAGGCACTTACTTCAAAGGAAAAACAAGTGACACCGTTAAAGAAGTGCTCTGAATTAGAAAGTAAATTTAGCAAGTACAGGGCGATCTGTAACGTTAGCAAATACTAGCTGGCAAATATCTACGCAAATATTGTCGAAAAACGTGCGTGATTTGATGACAGCTTTCCATAGAAAAGGCTCTCTTTCCGAAAGGTCAATTAGAGAGTCAGGAACGTACGTACCTTGTTGGACCGCACAGAACATATGTGGAGATATCTGGCGTATTCTGGAAGCTTTCCGGAGCGGCAAAACGATGACATGCCTCAAATGCTTGTGGAGGATAGCTTGGATAACAGCGGTAAGTATCAAAGACGTCTATTATGTCTCTCTATAAACGGTGGCACACAACAGCGAATTTTATCAAGTGACGATTGATACATTCAACATACGCAGAGCAGTATTAGACCTATATAATTATATAGTTCAAGAGCGGAACTAAAGTAGTTGGTCGTTAAACGTTTGCTCAGGAGGGAGGGGAGAGTCCTTGTCAGGAACATACAAGTACTAATATTGGTCAACTTTAACCGTGTCTTTATGATGTTTCTGACAACGGTCTCTGAAAGATTAGTAATGCAGTGTGCTTAATTCTCATCTCTTAATTTCGCCTTGAATGCAATGACGCTGTCGCTTAAAAACCTTGAACCTTCGACAATCTAGGGGAGGGCAAATTTTTCAGGTGTTCTACAGACACTCGCAAAAATGAGCGGAAACAATAAATTGTTATAATGTGGTTTGAAACTTGCTAACAACACACACACACACACACACACACACACACACACACACACACACACACACACACACACACACACACACACACAAACAACCTAAATTTCGTGTTACCAGGGCGTTAATGTCACACACGACAAGCTAACAGGTCGCGCGCAACTCCGTTATTTTTAATCTTCCCTGCATCGCTACTCGCTCAACCGGTAAACCTATTGGTTTTCCTTGCAAGACGTCGAGTGAAAATGCAGGCAGGTTTACACTGTGTTCCGATATGCATCACCAGCTGCAGCTGCTGCGAGCAAGCAAGTAGCTTTCCTGGGTTCCGTGGTTGTCCGTTCTCGTATATATTGTAATAGCATTGTTGTTAAATGTTCTCGTACTGAGAGATTACTGCCAGTTGTGATCATAGATACGAACCGTAAAGTGTCACAGATTACGCATATTGTAGAGGCTTGCTGGCGAGTCTGTGATTCACTTTACACCCTGTATAGCAACAATTCCGTAGTGGATCACCCGATAACTGCCTCTAAGTTGCGTTTTGCATAGGTTGAAATTCGTTGTACAAATGGTGTATTAGCAGAGAATTAACAGGAATTTAATTTGCGCATATTTAGCAGGAGGTAAACTCGAAATACCTCGTGCGTGGTCATTGTGTCTGCATCGGTGTTCAATTCGGCGCATTGCCAGTAGAAGAAGGAGAGAGTAGATATAGAGCCAGTTAGAATTGGAAATGCCTAATTAGTGTCGAATGCTACTGCATTTTTCTTTTTTCTGTAAGATACTGTATATTTGATCATGTTCCATTTTGGATGTGAATGGCAAGGATGTTTTTGATCAGGTTGCCACGGAAGCAACAGCATAACATCAAGAGTTAATAATACCTCTTATTATTAAGTATTAGGTTTATTAGGTATTATTAGCTCTTGATAACGTGTGTGTTTCATGCGAGATTAGCCGGTGTTAAATTGTCGGTGTGCAGCAAAGCTGAACACAGCTGTAAGAGACAACTTCTACTAGCATCTTCTTGAGTTACATTTTCATTAACCAATTAATTATGACGAAGTGTGTTTTTGATGCGTAGTTAGTTGATCAGCGGTTCTGTGGATAATGTTATTCACCGGTTGTTATTATCACAGTTTTGCCAAGTTTAGGATGACTAACCATGCTATACTACTTGTATGTTAAAGGCGAAACAAGGGTTACGTCAATTCATGATAAACTTATTCAACGCGTAACATTGTCTGTGAGAAATATGTGTAATTAGTGTACAGGCTTTCTAATAAATGTACTGCCTGTACGAATGGCATGCAGTACGACCAGTAATGCTGCTGTTTGTTCTCGTGCATTTTAGTGTACTTTCGGTTTCGGTACGGGTGCGTGCGTGTGTGTATGCGGGTGGGATGCGTCTATGCAGGTGCGTGCGTGCGTGCATGTATGCGGGTGCGTCCGTGTGTGCGGGTGCGTGCGTGTATGCGCGTTCGTGCGCGTGTGTGTGTACAAGTATAGGGGACTGATTCGCCCGGGTCTGTGCTAGTGCGCGTGAACGCAGATGCTGTTTCCCTGACTCGGCTGCTGTGCCTTGTGCGATCGAACGTGCATCAGTGCCCCCTATGTTCTTTTGCATTGTCGTTGAACACTCGCGACTACAAAGTTTGGCTACCAATAATAAAAGGTCGTAAGAGATACTCGACTTTGGCACGAGCCACGTCTAGTCTGTGAGTGCGTGCGTGTGCGCGTGCGTGCGGTCAGGGCAGGCTAGTGCTTTTATGCGCGAGCGCCTACTGGCGTTCCAAACAAGCCCCTCGTGTCCATCATCAGTTTTCGCATGAGAGATTTAGAGAGTATACCGGACCGTACCCAGGGTACGTCCCGGCAGTACTCAGGGAGAAATAGACCCTGACAGTCTTACTAAGCTCTTTGCTACTAGTAGGTCTCAGGGGAGAGATCGTGAATATAGAAATAAGTTGTGGATATAGAAATCAGTTAACCGTTAACGCCTAACCCTAACGCCTAATGCCTACCCCTAACGCCTAACCCTATCCTATCGCCTATTCTAAAATAAAACAAACAGTTAGCCTCAAAAATAACTTAAAAAATAAAATAAATAAGAGAGCAAAATCAGCCATCAGAGGCCGTTCCCGTAACGATCACCTATCTCTCTCCCGCTGTGCAGAAATTCCTTTGGCTAGCAGATATTACCGGTATTACCTATGGTATTACGTCGTCATACCCCCATCGTTCCGCTGTTCTAGCATATAATATATATTTATACATATATATATTATTAAAACAAAATACGCCTCCGGACAATCACCCGCCGGAACCATTAACCCA